GATGTTCCAAACATTGTGTAGTGTGTTTTATTGGACTTACGATGTGCCATCATTGTGTGGTGTGTATTGGACTTACGATGTGCCAATCATTGTGTGGTGTGTTTTTATTTGACGTACTGTAACGGCACAGGCGTTATAAAATAAGATGTGTAAATCATCATAGTTTATTATGAATAAATCCGCAATATATATTATCACAATTGTATTCTGTATCACATAAACTTTCCTTCTTTTATAAAAATTTCACATTGAATATTTATAAATATTCTTCCTCTTTCTAAACTTCAATTCATATAAATTTTAGGCATCGTCTAATATACAATAGGAAAGAAACAAAAATAAAGATCATAAGTATGTTTCATTTCTGTATATAAATGTTATACAATATAAACTGAATGCATTTTTTATTTTCTCACTAAAAATTCCTTTCTTAACTTTATTATAAAGTTTAATAATTAATCAAGTCCTTTAAATTTTAAACAATTACTGAAATGTAATTTCAATAATGAATTCCCTTATAAAATTACTAAATAAAATGTTTCTAAGTATTTCCAATACGGCAGTTCCGGGATACTGTTTTTAGTTGAATCTGTCATGTGACTTCCATCACCACGTGACCAAAATGTAGGCATCGTCACTTCCAACACATGTTGAGCAAACGGAAGAAAAAGTTTGATTGTAACCTGCACAAAATATTTGGGAAATTAAAATCTAATAAGATGGTCACCCTCCCTCATTCGTACGGGAATCAAGATAACGTACTTACGGAACATAAATTATTTTTATACTACCCTACAGAATGACGATTTTGAAAGTGTTGGAAACTTTTAATAGAGCAGGGATACAGGCGCGCCTTCTATCTGGTAAATGACGTCATAAAGGCGTGCGAAATAGACGACTTTTTCCGGTGAAAGACATGATTCCAGAAATGACATATTCTAAAACATATAATCTCCCTTATCAAATTATCTCCCCTTATCAATATTGATTTAATAACGTCATGTACTTCAAAAACATGACTAAACATTTTATTATTGTAAATACCAAACATTTTACAACTAACTGCTAAACTAATAAAGCATACACTATCAATAGCAGTAAACTTAATTTGTATTAACAGTTCTAGGAAGGCATGGTTGATAAATATAATTACTACACATACCCTAAGTAAGGTGAGAGTAGACATCTCATTGCGAATAATCACAAATCTTTATCAATCTTTCTGACAATCATAGTTGATCACAATTATCTTATGACACTTGCAAATAACATTTATAGTTCAAAATAGGTACTTCTCTCAGAGTAATAAAGATATTATTTCAGATTTTCTCTCATTTTTTTTTCTCTCATTTTATCAAAATAATCTTGATTCACCAAAACACACAACTGATCAAGATTCCTTAATTCTAAAATATTTGCATAACAATTCCCAATATGTAACGTACCTTATTCCGTACTTATTATAAAATCTAAAAACAGATATTTTATAACTAAGTTTATAACTTGTGAATGATAATGACTTATATAACTTCTATATCTTTATTCTAAAACTGTCTTAAATGCGTAATTACTTTATAAACTATGAATTATCGTGTTTCATCTAAACGACATGCTACAAATGGTACGTTTCTCACTCAAAACTTCACTATGATAACAACTTGTTTAAAACAATGAAATAAGTTCATAATCCCGTCACACTCCCCCACCGCAAGAGTCATACCATTATGACTCTCACACACATTTGACACCCAACTAAAAAAACCAACAGTAGTTAGAGAGGATTTCTAGCTAGGGTATCTGTGTGAGAGTCATAATGGTATGATGACTCTTGAGGTGTGGGAAGTGTGACGGGATTGCTTCCCTTTAGTGGTAGATACTTAGTCAGCCGTAAGCGGTTGAGCTAAGGAAGTACTTCTTTAGCTCAGTCGGTTAACGCGCTGCCTTGTAATACAGAGGTCCCGGGTTCGATTCCCGGAGGAGACAAAGATGATTTTGTAAGAAGAATCATACTCTCCTATTACATAATCATGATTCAACTTACAATATTTGAATCTTCACAATTCTGTTTCCAACATTACATTTCACAAGTCACATTGTGTTACAAAGAAACTTGTCAGTGACAAAGAATTACTGTCAACCTCTCTTTAAACTACCCACGCTATTATCTGCGCAATCACAGTCATCTCTTACCTACGAGAGTTTCAAAAATCTCTTTTCACAATAAAATCAAAATCTATTTATTTTTGTCTTTGTCGTCTGTTTATATATTCTTTGAATATCTTAACCACTAAATAGTAATTTTTAAGAGTAAAAATAATTTCCAAACTAAATGTCAATCTAAAATATTATCAAAATCTATATCGCTCAGTTACATTACGATATGCCAATCATTGTGTATTGTATTTTTATTGGACTTACGATGTGCCAATCATTGTGTGGTGTGCTTTACCTTTGCATATATTGTTTTGTATTAAATATGAGTAATATAAAATGAGAGACTATAAGAAAATATTGAATCTGAATCTGAATTTATAAGTCTACAGAACCTAAACAAAGCGCTTTCCGCGTTTAATCATGCCAATTAGGAGTGTTAATTTTTTTTTATTAAAAATCCGTTAGCGATTGATATAGGAGTTAAGCAGTTTTGGAGTCATAGGCTAATATATAGTTATATAATGGAGAGTTGTCTCATTGGCACTCATACCACATCTTCTTATATCTATATAAAAAAAGAATTAGCAATTTTAGTGTACAGTTACACACAAAATTTTATCATACATAATTTTGATCGTTAATATTTCTTTTGGTTTTACTGTGTACCGGTATGATCACAGTGTTGATATATCTTCATGAAAAAATTCTATAAAATAACTAAACATTGAATAATTCAGCAGTTACTGAACTTGTGTCTGCATAATATAAAAATAAGAAGATGTGGTATAACTGCCAATGAGACAACTCTCCACCAGATACCAAATGACGTAGAAGGTAACAATTATAGGTCACCGACCTGCCTTCAACAATGAACAAAACCCATACCGCATAGTGAATACATTTTTATTTAATACTTCTATTTTTTTGAAAATCATGTGCCTATATCGGAAATCAGAAGTCTGTGTACTTCAGAATGGTATGCCATGTATAAAATTTAAGAAGGCAAAGGGTACAGCTTGGACCAATAAACAACAAGACTCGAAACCAGGCATATATTTCAATACTTCGCCTAAGCTTCACAAAATTCCGTACAAATAACGGTATATTACCGGCTCATCTGCATGTTCAACAAATGAATTGTCCATTAGATTGACAAAAATTCTGTCCGCAGTGAAAGAAGGTCTTCAGAAATACTGTGAAACTGCTTACTCGCGTAGTTGTATTTACCATATGTGGGTTCTAAAAAACTCTAAAAACATTCTGAATAATTTTAAATCTCGATCTTTCTCTGAAATAATTCTATCAAAATCTTTGATTTTTTAACCCTGTATACCACCATTCACCATGTGAAATTAAAAAGTCGTCTAAAAGAAATAATCCACTATACTTTTCAATATAGAAATGGTAGCGTGCGCTATTTATTTGTTGCTTTGGGATGCCATGCGGCATGTTTTTTTTTGTTGTTGTGCAAGGGGCTAAAGCATACTACACAGAGGAACAAGTGATCAGTATGCTAGAGTTTTTTATTGACAACATGTTTGTAGAATTTAGAGGTAGACTTTTTCATCAAATCGTCGGCATTCCTAAGGGAACGAACTATGCGCCTCTCTTTGCCGACCTCTTCTTATTTCATATGTGTCGGAGTTTCTTCAGACACTTGTAAAAAATAGGGAAGATCAAAGTAGCCAGATCATTTAATTTCACATTCAGATGTATTGATGGTGTTCTTTCCATTAACAATCCAAACTTTTCTGATTGAATTCCATTTATTTATCCTCCAAAACTAGAAATTAAAAAAACAACAGACACGACTTCCTCCACCTCATTTTTAGACTTATACCTCGAGTTTGACAAAAGCTTTCATCTCTGTACCAGAGTCTATGACAAACGAGACGATACTAATTTTAAAATATAGGTTACCTCCGCCTTGGCGGCAATGTGCCAACTTCACCTGCATGTAGGATATGCGTTTCCTAACACATTCGATGTTCAAGGGCTTGCGGCTGCTGCTCGGAGCAGGATCTGCTAAAGGGACTAATTTTGCTCTGTGTTGAAGACATCACTGTGGCTTTTAGATGAAGAACAGCAATAAAAGCGCTGTTCCTTTGCTTTTTGTGTGTTTTGTGTTGTGTATGTTCTGATTTTGTTTCGTGGATGCATACTCCATATCCTTTGTTTTTGTGCTTTATGCTAGTATCAAAAACTTTCTCCATTCAATTTTAAAGAATCGAGGCGAAAGATACCAAAGGATTATTCAAACTCATTAGTCGAAAACAAACTGACAAAAGCAAGGCAAAAACGAAAAACGATGAAAACAGTACATAAAACTCAACCTAGAAACAGATTATTGAATATTGTTAAGTTTTTGAATCCCCTTCTTTGACTACCATTTTCGATTTCAATAAAAATTTTCGTAGATATAAAATCTAGAGAGATGATTATAAAATCAATCGATGCTTTCATAATATAAAAAATGAAAACCACGACTATAGTTTTTTTCAGCATTGATTATCATGAATAATATGTAATCAAACAATGTCTGAATTCGCTGTCTATTATCCACTCACCACTCGACAAAACAGCCAATAGTGTTTTCATTTAATTCATGTCAGCTAATCATGATTCTCAATCAAGTAAAAATCTGTATTTAAGTAAATTCCATTCTGCTACTTCAATGAAAGATTTATGAATTCTAATAAGAGTATGCTTAAGTCATCTGACAAGCTGGATATCTCACAGTATCTTGTTTAATAGTAATAGTTTGCATAATGTATTTTAAGTTGATGCATACTATGGCAGAAGTATACATATTTTATTCCAACTGAATTAAATCTTTATTCCTCTAGATCCATGTGTACCTCGTTGTCCTGCCGGTTATGTGCAGGTACCCGATCAAAGTGTTAGTAATAAGTGTTTCCGTGCTGGACGTGGACAGGCCTCTTTTACGGCTGCGGACGTAAGTACACTAAAATATTAATCTATAGAACCTCGCCAAGCTCTGCATTTTCCTGAATTAGTGAACTTTTCATTTGTTTCGTAAAGGAAAAACACAGAATAATTTCCGATACAATTTTGGTTATTCTATTTATTGTATTTTGCGCAATCTTTATACATGTAATTTTAAAATTTGGTTACATGTGCAATATTTCGCTATATTATAATGGTTGGATCTACTAGGACAAAAACAAACTGTCGTACTGTGTATTGCACGCATAAAGGCACAAAGTTTGAAATTTCATAACGATTTGAGACTTTTAGAAAATGACTCTTCTGTGTGTGTGTTTAATCCAGGTGACATACTAATAAGCCCTACTTCTTTGACAAAATTCATTAATACGTCTATTTGGCTTGACTTGAATGCCAGGATAGATTGCATACATGTAAAAATGGTGGAAATTATTTTTGTGTGAAAAAATAAGACTAGAAATAATATATAATTATTTACGTCTAACATTTTTAATGTGTCTCGTATAAAAACAAAAGAAGATTTAAAATAAACTGGACACACCAATTCCTCCATTGTACAGGTGTATAAAATGTGTTGCTTTTAACTGTCTGAAATGCAAAAATGAAAATATTTCAAAATAGAAGTAATTAATATACTAAATTTAAGGCAATAGTAATTTACCAATGTTAAAATCTCAAATTGAAAAAAAAACAAACTATGAGGGAATCGCATGAACTCTACAAGGCGCGAGATCGGATGTGTTGACATGGTATCTGCCTCCCGCTATGCGTGCATCACCAACCATACAAATCCAAACTTAAGTGTCACAATCGGGAATAGGTCATAATCGGTAAATTTACAGATCATCCGACTTTTCTAGAAAGTGCAAAGAACGGCTTAATTTCACATTGCCTATTTCATTTTCGTATGGAAGTAAAATTGATAATAAATCTACGATGTACAATTTTTCTTATCCTTTCAAGAAGCCCGAGGTTGTGGATGTTGTATCCTCCCTTCTGGACACATATCATGTTGTTCCACCAGACAAAATCCTCAACAATATTGTTTTATATACAACAACCATTATTTGGAATGTCTCACTACAGAACTGGGACTTCACAAAAAAGATGGGAATCCCACATACACTTAGTACACCTATACCATTCTTGAAAGAGATGTTAGAAAATCAAAAATCCGTCCTCTTCTCTGGTATGTAACACAAAAAAGTACGACGAAAATCAATTATCTTTATACTGGATACCTACTCTTTACAAAAATCCTCATTAAGAACTATATATAAATGGAACCTATCTGGCTTAATCTGTGACACAGATATTTTATAACACTTTACCATCTCGTGATGGCGTCCGTATAATTTTCGAAGAAATGATTTCAAATTCACCATTTGGAACTCTTGGTTCAATAGTTTCCTTCAAGCAGCAACACTCTATCAAGGAATTCAATATAAGAAATGCAAGCCCTGGAAAAACGTATCGATTTGGTGATATATACTTTGTGGTATATAGTATAACTTTAAATATAGTAGTTTTTCGCTCTCTTCTCTAAATTTTGGACCAATAATAAACACATTTTGTATATGCTTCTTTGGTCAAAACCTCTTCAAGGTATCATTTTTATGGTTCTTGACTTAAAAAAGCAGTTTAACATTCAATATTTGAGAATTAGAAATGTCATTGTATTCTTTTCTATATTAGTAACGTGTATCATCAGTTCAGTACGTGGCTTACAATGACATTAAGTTTAAAGAAGCCATACATTTTTTAAAATTAATTTTACTTTCTAGGCTGAATGTTCGGAAACTACGAATGCTAACCTGTGGTGTCCTGGTAGCATTGCTGAAGATAGATCTGTTCGTTCAAAATTGAAACTAGGTAATCTCATTTATAACAGCATTACTGTACTTTTTCTGTTATATTATCAATGTATAGCTGTGGTTTTCTACATCATTTTAATTATAACAGCTGACAATGTATATTTAAAGCTTGATTCAGTATGAAAATAATTCTGTCTATGGAGATAATTTAAGAAGCTCTTTCTGTTTATATTTAACAGTTAGGATTAAGCTAAAAAGGAAAAGATTATTTAACCCTTTAAATCATAAACACATATTAGCCAAGTTGCAATGTCTTTATATGTATCTTTTTCCATATCGACCAAACACCCTCGTAGGAAAGATCGTTGACTATTATCTAGACATTTTATAATTAATAAATAAAAAAAAACGATAGTTTTTTTTTCTCTGGCGCTTTCGTCCTTCTGTAAGAACTTATCGATATTCTGGCAACATAAACAAGTGAAACGGCGCGCTCGAGGAGACTTTAACGTGACTTAATTGTTGGTTACATTTCAGGATTCTTGCATTAAGCGCCAAGCTTTGGTTTACATATTTCAATGAAATATTGTTCAATTACACGTGGGTACATTTCGCACTTCCTGTTTCATTTGAAAAAAATGCAAATGTTAAATTGTCCTTTGTTACATGTATCAGTGTGTACATTCCGAGGTATTTTTTTTATATTGTGGATGCCTTATTCGTTCTTTCAGGGATCTGACACGTTCGTTCAATATCTACGGCGTTGTTTGCCATAGCACGTTGCAATAATAAAACAAATGGCCTTCATCCGTGTCAGTTCTTTTTCAAGATATGACAAAACAATGAGTGTTTTAACACACAAAGAACTCATTGTTTTATCACATTTTGAAAAGGGACTGACACTGATAAAGGTCTTCAGTTGTTCTTAAATCGAAAAGATTTAATACAACATAAATGGTTAACTGTTCAGCTACTTCAACAATTTCGGCATTAGAAGTGTTTTACCAGTCTTATTGTCTACACAGTTAATCAATCAGCTATTTTGGTTTTAGAATGTAAAAATAAAAACAAAATTAAACACTTTATTTACAGTAATTGTGTACGAATGATCATGTTTAAGATAATGAATATTCGATTATAAAGAAATGTGCAGCAATCCCTTAAAAACTGGTAAACCAATTTTCATTGTTTTCGGTGGTAAATCATCAACAACTTTATTTAGATTTCAAGCCAATGAATTAAAAAACAGCACATTAAAGAACAAACAGCAACACTTCAGTACAAATTTGCGTCGTTAATTAGTGTCCAATAGATTACAGAATATAAAAACATGCGAAACCAGAATAAACAGTACCGTTTAACAATTCTCATCGTTTTTACGAGTAACTGAAATCAAGTCTTAAAGTACTTCAAATTAATATAAAAGCATGCTTACAAAAACTGTAAATCGCGGCTATACTTCAGATTGCATACACTATCCTCATTACCCGTACATGAAAAAACCTGTAAAGATGTTTTAAAGCCGAAAAATCATTCCAGTTTTTCTTCAAACTTTTAGTTAGCTAAATAATATTCATTGCAAGGAATGTCTTATACAACAAAAAGTTGTTCACATTGATGAAGTACTCATTTCGTTTCGTTAAAACATAATCATGCTGTTGGTACAAAGATAAAAGATTAAAAAGACGTTATAAAAGCAAGACGACACCGCCCATCAAATAATAAACTTTTGAAAACATGGACAACCGAAAAAATGGAGCTATTGTATCAATTATAGAAACTTATTGTTATGTTCTTTTACTTTATGTACTTTAAATTTGAATAGAACAATGATTTTTTTTTCATGCAGGAACCGAAACGTTGAGGATTGGATGTAACGATCAAGACAAAGATGCATCGTACACGTGCAAAGGTACCGAAAGGAAATGTGATCCCAAAAACCCATCTTTTGGAGGTAATTATGCAAATTGTTGTTCACCGAACAAATTTCATTGTAAACCATAATTTATAGATACTTAAAAGATAGGGAACGCATGAGTAAATGCAAATTCTTCTGTGTCGGATCAAAATCGTAGTAATGTCCTGTGTTGTCTAGACGGTGTCCTGTGGAATGGGCTTGCGGCCTTTTATAGCCGACCATACGGTATGTGTTTTTCTTATTGTTGAAGGCCGTACGGTTGCCTATAATTACTTATATTCACTTCATTTGAACTTTGGTGGATAGTTGTCTCATTGGCAATCATACCACATCTCCTTATTTTTATAATGATCTGGAGAAATATTTGGTCGGTTTATTTTACCATGCAAAAGATTCAAATTGGATTAGAATAAGATTTAAAACGGGATAATCGAGAAGAATGCGTCTGAAAACATCTGATTGTTTTGCGATTAAATAAATGTGTTTTTTTGAAAATTCCAACCATAAAACACATAATTTTGATCAGACTTTTGACAAATTTTACCGCGAATTGTCCTGTCAAGGAAGGCAGATAAAATAATAACGGTGTCATTTAACACATCGAGAAAACCTCTCGACTACAAATTCATTAAAATAAAAATGTCTTTTTAATTAATTGATTCATATTGTTATTTCTTGTTAATGTCCCTTTCTTATGTTAGGACTTTGGTTTGTTTTAATTACCATGCTGCATTTACAGTACCTTTGAGTAATTCTATTTTGAATATGGCGAACATTTTGATTATCATTATTAGTAGTAGTAGTACGACCCTTAACTGAATTCCATGATATAAACGTTCACGGAGCCAGTAAAAACTACAAACTAAATATATCCCAGTAATTAAACCTTTAGAAATCATATCTTCATTATTTTAGACGTCGACTTAAATGCAAATTGATTTTGTCCTGACAATTGGACCTTAATATTTGAAACCATTGATTATTACTCTTATGCATTTTATAGTCGGATTTGACGCTAGTATATGGTCCATTCGGATATTTCCTTTTGTAAGGTGAATGTATGTTTTAAGATTCAGATCCATAAATATGTGTATCTTGATTATTAACGAACAAATGACAGTAGTCAAAATACAAATCGTGTTAACCTAACCTAGTTTGATTTGATTTTTTTAATTCTAACAAAATGAAAACAGTCCACATCTTTTAAAAGATCTTATAGTTTAAGCATACTTTATTGTTAAAAAGGACAATAAGATTTAAAGAGCAACTCTATTAAATTTTATCGATACGGTATGATTGAAACATCTAAAGACAAAGCCATTTGATAAGGGACTTGCCATTTTGAATTTTCCTTGGAGTACAGTTGAATAATATTTTCATCTCTTACATTGGTTGTTCACCGAGATAGAGCATTAACGAAAATCACTTTTCGATTTTAAAACCAGTTTGAAAAACAAAAATATAAGATCAGAAGTGCAATGGTAAATCGGACAATTCATAAACTTTACAATTGATCACGTGAATTCGGGGAATTTAATACTTGTTTTTAGGATGAAACAATTCGAATATTTACCAGGAACTCCCTCTCACATATGTATTTTTAACAAATGATTCTAATATGACGTGCTGCTTTCGCTTTGTAAGCAACAGCATGATAAAATTCTCAATCCATCTATATAAATTGACATCAGAAGTCCCAAATCGAATCATGTTAGAATATTCGGTCCCAACTTTGATTAGTATATAATCCTATAACACTAGATGTCAAACATTAGGGTCTTGTAGGACTCCCCTTTCAAACCTTTACGAACCATGGCCTTTTGACCATGAAAGCCTTATGTCAGGGGCCATCACTAGTGTGGACAAACGCTTTGTCGTAAGAAATTATTTACGAATTAAAGTTGGGAGGGAATGCATAGTTACTAATTTTATACATCTAGTGAAGGTCTTCTGTCAGTTTTCACATCTAGGACTTTTGGCCCGAGCAAGACAGTGCCTATCATGTATACATGTTGTGGACAAAAGGTTAGGAGTAGACACTTTTTAATACGAATCAAAGTCGAGGACCAGTATATTGTCGTAGTTATTCAGATCGGTTGCCCAGTTTCTATTGAATATTTTACTGATAAGACGCAATTCTTTTTCAAAGTAATTTGAAAACGTAAAAAAAACCTAACCCTCACCACCCACCCCCAAGAAGAAGAAAACTACAAGAGTCATTGTCATTAAGTACCTTTCTATTTACCACCTATGAGTTAGTTGCTTTAAACATCTTGCAATGCATATATACATGTTATGGTAATTACCCTATATGATTTAATATTGCATTTGCCATTAATAAAATTATCCAATCAACTTCAACAGGGTCAGCTAGTAATTGGCTAAAAATTTATCCTTGGAGGTGCAATTTATGATCAACAAAACTGACAATATTCTTAAAGTACGAATGTGCAGTACATACTATATTATATTAAAACTATATATGTCAACTGCATTTTATAAAACTGTTTTTGGCGTTACTCAATCCTTTTTATCTCAATACATGAAATAATATAAAAGTGGCTCACATAAGGATTACAATAAAGATCAGTTCAAGTGATTTTACTTAGCAGCTTTCTTAGTCTAAACTTTTCAAAACCGTAGTTGAAGTGTCAAAACAGATTTAAGTCGAAGTTTTGCAATTGAAATCAATAAACTCCACAAAGATACCAGGTTTATAATTAGTATATGTCAGACGCGCGTTTCGTCTACAAAATGCTCATCAGTGACACTCGAATACAAAAGGTTAAAAGATCAAATAAAATGCGAGGTTAAAGGACATTGAGGACCCACATTCCGAATGAATTCGAAAAATACATCTCAAGTCATCGTGTAAATTATTTTTTAAGAATGATCACACTAAAGAGGTTAAATAATGTAGTTTGATTATATTTCTTTTGTAAGCAACCGAAAGAAAATAGTATAGCGCTTAAATGATTATTTAACAAGCTTGACATAATTTATTTTCAACATATATGTAAAAAATTAAAACAAACGTTTCGTCAATGTAAACTGATTATCACCAAAGGGTCAAAAACTACATAACTTTACTGAATACCTGCGTTTACTGATCTTGTATTTCAATCTTTACTTTTAGTGTCACTATTTGTTTTCGTCTTTTTTTTTCTTTTAACACATCTACTGACACGTATTGTAATATTATGTATGTATACTGTCCAACTTATCACAGTAGTTCGTCAACAACATAGTCCAGTTTTATATAGGAATTTCATTAAATTCCCTCAAATGTTCTTATATGAAAGAAGAATACAAATTAAAATAAACACGAAGGAGACTTCTTTCTGGACTAGAAGATGAAAAAAAGAAATACTTCATTCAAATTGACTTATAATGTTTTGGCTTTGCTAATACATACAGGCATGACATGTGTTTTTTTTTTAAATCTAGGAGTACAAAGGGCAAGAGTTTTACATACAGTAGAAAAATAAAAATGATATTCAGCGCAAAACAAAACATACATTTGTTTTATAATAATTTTGCCATGTTGCGTATCTTTATTTATCACATTACCAAAGTTTTACATTAAACAAATTAAAGTATGGGCAAGTACCTGATTCCCGAACATTTACGAATAGTGGTGCGGACCCGTCAATATTCTCCGAAATTGTATGATATATATTTTGCAACATGCACGGATGCAAAATTTCCGCTGCTTTCCTGAAAACAAAATCAAGGTGTACGGAAGCAGTAACACAACAGATGCTTTGTGAAGACAATATCTAATCTAATATTTATTATGTGATATCTCTTTAATCTGTAGAAAAAGCTGAAGGTACAGCTGGTTGTAGTGTTGGTGAAAGGTGTGACGGTGATGAAAAGGGATACTGCGTAAACATTGCATTTGATGGTTCTTCAAAGGATAAAAAGAAATGGTTACTAGTGGAATGTAACAGCGAAAACTTATTTGTATGCGAGGTTCCAATTGTAAGTATAAACAGACAAAATATCCAAGTGAAAGATTTTTTTAATCAAACACTTTGCAATCTGGCGTTTGTTCATATGTATATGTGTGTGTACGATATGCATGACACTGATTAAATATTTTGTGAATAGAAAATGGCCATTTTTTTACCTTTTATGTTTTATATTTAATGTTCGAAAAATTTTGGAAGTTTCGCGAATCTATGATTTTGATGTTCAGTGGTTCGAAGAAAAGTAGAAACAATTTGCCTGTACATGATAACAATCTTAAATTCTTTAATTCAAGTTAAATTTGAATATTTAGATGAAATACCGATATTAATTGTTAACAGATTTACAAATTTTCGTAAAGATACAATATTTTCAACACATGTTGTCCTTGAAAGCATGTTATTACAAAATTTCAGACTGTACATGTTTTTATAAAATTTTGCATCAAATACCGTCTCTAACCAAACTGAAATAATTGTATTCGAAACAAATTCTATAGGCATTTTTGGATGTTCTCAGACGTTTATAAATTGGTGATCTGATTAGAAATATACATTATATTGTTTAAACCTCAAAGTATGCTAATGTAGCTGTCATACTGTGATTTTAAGACATAGCCATAATATTGTTTGAACCTCAAAGTATGCTAATGGAACTGTAACACTGTTAATTTTGGAAGATAATGTGATATAAATTCAGAGGAAATTATCAATCAATTCATCCTAGGCGAATTTTGTAATTTCTGTCGCTTTATCATCAACGTAGATAAGGGGTGAAAAGTGCAATGCAATAAAACAGTTAATATATAAATAACACATAGCTGAGAGGGTGATAGAGCAGATTGTTACCCTGAGAAAACATTGTCAACCGCGGCGAAGCCAAGGTTGACAATGCTTTTTCGAGGGGTACCAATCTGCTCTATCACCCTCTCAGCTATGTGTTATTTAATTTATTATACTGAATGTCCTATCATTATTGTCTTTTACAGATGAATTTTATTTAAAAGTATTTTATATGACGTCAGGTACATATCAACGTTATTGGTATTAGAAAAAGCAACAGAATTGAAGCAAGATGTTTTATTTTTTTATTTTGACAGTCAAATAATAGAATCTGAGCCAAAATGTAGAACTTAAGCATTGTCTTCAATAACTTGATGTAAATTCAATTCATTGTCCTTAAACTTATCGATTTTTGATTGGTCTGGACGAGAGGGTGACATTCAAAAAAATTGTCACCCGCTCAGCCATGTGATAGAGTAAATTAACATCCTCGTATCAGCCAATCAAAATATGGAATTTTAACGTGAAGTATAATAACAACAAATATTCTCCGACGACAACGTACTTGATTGTTTTTTAAGTTCTGATCCGCCTTTAATACATAATCGATTTGAATTTAGATATTGATTAGAATATTTATCTTTATGAAAAAAGGCTGATCAGACTGAATGATTGTCTCTGAACTGATCGACTGAATGATAGCCATGTCTTTCACCGATTTTATGAAATATCTTCCATAGATATTTCCTGCCAAATTTTGTTTAGATTTGTTCAAGAAGAGATGATATAATCTAACTTGTCTGACTAGGACAGGACGGACATTTCATGTGGGTCAAGTGAGCTGAAAAGCATAATCTAATATTTTTTATTTCTTTTACAGATACCTTGCTAATGATGAGGAAATGGTACATAGAAACATCATATCTTCAATATAAAATATCAAATAAAATGTGTTTGTCTTCTTTTAGTTATAATATTCAAGATTGTAATTACTAGTAAAACAAACTGATGTGTCGAATGCTTACAATGATAATGCTGATAATGATAAAGTAAAAACGATGGAGACTCTTTACTCATAAACTCTCGAGTAAAAAGTGAAGAATTACTTATATAGATATAATAGTACTTCTACTAAAGATAAATGATACTACTAAATGTTATCCTGGAAGAATTCTCGAGTGCTAAGGATCTCCCCTTTTAGAATTTACCTTGGAGTTCGGTGTTTTTGTTATACTTTTAAGGAAGTTATTATCTAGTGATTATACTCTAAAATAAATCTAAGGAATAAATTTTGAAAGTCATACATTTTCACGCTGTAAAATTTGATCTGTTTCTATGCTACATTGTATGTAATGCAAGATTTATTGGTTGATTGTTGGGGTTAAACACCACATTCAGGAATATTGAATATTTCGGGGCGGTCAGTTATTTGTGGCGGAGGAAGCCGGAGTGCCCGTTGTCAGTTAATATAAGAGTCGACTGCCTCTGCCACTGTTAGTCAAACAGCACCAAGTATTACATCAGCAGAAGAGCTTCACGCCAGTTGAGGTAGTTTGTCCAGCGAATATTTCGTGAATCTCTGTAAAATGTTAACAAGTATTTTCATAACACTCAATACAGTGTTAAAGATATATTCTTAGGCATTTACATGATTTTGTGCCCAATAGTTCAACCTGACTATGCTAGAGTAGATCCAATTCGTTATTTCTTCTTATCCATGACCGGGACTTTCCCCTCTTACTTGATTGCACAGCCGCCTTATTTCTGTCTCTATCTTCAGCTGATATAACAGCTTTAAGATCGGGAGATGATACCTTTTCTTTTTTATTTAACAAGGAGACTTATATATAATAATCTAGTATTCTAAGTGTAAAGGAATGATCATTTGACCACCTTATTAGCATAACTACAGGATGCTATTGAAGCACACATTTTAAAATGGAACATATCTGCATATGCCATGTATGCGACAACTACACTCATTTTACCTTGCCCATCAGATTAGTTAATACAAGGCATCTGAAGTATTATAAATGTGCTTATACAATCAACCTAACAATGTTACAGCAGATCTGATTCATTTCCCCCTTTCCAATCGCAATTATTAGGCAAGTGATACATTCAAAAACGATTTTAATGCACTCACTTAACAAACGACTAACGCATTGTATGCACTACGTTTACAATCAGCTATATGTTATATCATTCAAAGCTAATTATCTGTACTTTGTGTTTCGCCCGGTCGTCCATAATTTTTACGATGCAATATTTGTTTAATTAAGGTCATAGGTCAAGAATGAATAAAACCTTCTTTCTAGTTCTGGTCTTGTTTTTTCCATTCTAAAAAACATATGAACTTTATAGAACACAATACAATAAGTCCAAATATAATGCAAATTAAATTGTTAATTGCGCGATATTTACAGAATATTGCAATTCTTGAAAAATCCCACCAAAATGATAAAATTGCTGTAAAAGCAAAATATTTCAAAACGAATCAATGTATTTATGTAAAGAAACCCTTATAAATCGTTTATAGGTAAAGTTACTCATTTAAATTGCATTTAACATATATTGACCAGGAATCAGAGTTCTAATGGACCCTTTGTTTTACAGCTGGCAAAAAAAAAAAAAAAACCCAATCTGTACATTTGGGATCATTTCCCTAATTTGAATATAAAAATACATCGATCGTGGTCAATATTGAAATAAAAATAATTTGGCATACTTAAATAAGGGGTAATAAAAGTGCGTAAAGGATAAAAGAGAGGCGAAAGATATCAAAAGGACATTCAAACTCATAAGTCGAAAATATACTGACAACGCAATTGAAAAAATAGAAAAAGACCAAACGACAAACAACAGTATACAAAAAACAAAATAGAAAATTGAAACAGATATTCCATAAAAGAGGGGCGAAAGATACCAGAGGGACATTCAAACCCATAAGTCGAAAACAAACTGACAACGCCATGACTAAAAAAGAAAAAGACCAACAGACAAACATAAGTACACACAACACAACATAGTAAACTAAAGACTGTGCAACACGAACCCCACCAAAAACTGGGGGATCTCGGGTGCTCCGGAAGGGTAAGCAGATCCTGCTCCACATGTGACACCTGTCGTGTTGTTCATGTTAGTACAAACCTGGTAATAAGTCTAATTTTAATTTGGTAGGTCACATTCGGGAAAAGGGGACTGGATTGTAGTTACGATATTAGGAACATATCCGCTATCATCTGTGAAACGGATAACAGTAAACAACTCGAGATGGCGTTCGTAAAATTTTCACTTGGAACTCTTGGTTTAAAAGCTTCCTTGTAAGCAGCAACCCTCTATCTGTTTGTTAGAAAACACGTTCTCCGAATGTAACAAATATGTTGTCAATCAAGAAATCAAGAATCTTGATAATGTCAGTTTCAGAGAACTTTTTGTTTGAATCTGAGTGATTTTTTTTAATCACTTGGAAGACCCAGTAATATATCGTTCTTTGTAAGGACACTTTATGTAGTTTAGGTATCCAAAACAGTGAAGGTTGAACATTTTTGGTTGAAATCCCAAAGGAACATAGAACAGACCTATGATTATCCCGGATTTCTTCCTTGGTAAGTTGGGATTATATACTGAATTTCCAAGTGAATTGGCAATACCTTATTCATTTATCAAGCATTTTAATGTAATGAGATTTACACACAAAAACGATGTTGTTTGGGGCTTTATCTGCAGGGGAAACAACATATATACTAGTCAACAAAAGAAACGATACAAGGTAATGTATTTTCCATTTATAATGAAATTGGATACACTGTACCAAGGTAAAAAATTGCCCAATTGGTCTAATATTTACAGAGTGTTATTTTCTTATCAAAACCATTGATTTAAGGCAAATACGCGAATTTTTTTATTTCCAAAATCGTATTTTCACCCCAAAATTTCAAAAACCGATATTAGAACTTAAAACTTTAAACTTAAACATGGTCTTCTTAAAATTTTGAATGCCTTTGCAGATATTTCAATACTTAATTCTCATCTTCGAAATTAAGTGCCGACTTTTGTCATCATTTTCCGCAAAATAAATTTGACCCCTGTGTTCAATAACTCGGTATTTTCTTACTTTCAAATTTTGTCAGATACTTTTAATCATATGCATTTGCTTTGCAAATGAAGGTTTTTCATTGGATAATTTAACAATTTTCCCTATTTATTATATGTTATGATAAATTGGAGTTCAAACTTGTGTATCGTTACTTTTTTTACTAGTATGTACCATGGAGGTAGGAAAGGTGTTTTGTAACATTTGGGTCTTTAAATATTGAATGCATCTACTATGATGTTCAAAATCTATAATTAATAGATCTGGTGTAGCTTTCTCATTTTAGAACTTTGATATTGCATATCCTTTTTACAGCATTGTCATCATTGAATACTGACGATAATTTTATATGCATTCTAATGTTTGAAACTTGGATTTTATAGCATTCTCATAATTTGAACACTGATTATCATTTTTATAGCATTTTCATCATTGAATATTATTTTTTAGCATTTTCATAATTCGAATACTGATTATCATTTTTATAGAATTTTCATCATTGAAAAGTGAATATTATTTTTGATAGTTTTCTCATTATTGAATACTGAATATCATTTTATAGTCTTCTCGTCTTTAGATACTGAATTTTGTTTTCATAGCATTCTCATGTTTAAATACTGAATAGTATTTTCTGGCATTCTGGTCATTGAATACTGAATTTAATTTCTTATGGTAGCATTCTCATGCTTGAAACTTTGAATGTATATATTTGTTTTTAATAGCTTTCTCATTTTTGAATATAGCATTCTGAAAAAATTGAATACTGAATGTCATTTTTATATAATCTAGGAACACTGATTATTATTTTTATAGCATTCTCATGTTTTAAAATGTATGCACAAGTTTTTGTTAAAGAAATTTCAACATTAGCTTAAAGCGTTTAAATACTAAATACTGTTAGATACATTATTGTGAATTAGTATGTAAACATATATATTTATTTATTTTCATTTATATTTTTTTTATGACTTTATTGAAGGTGAATTAATCCAAACTCCCAAATCCTTGGGGGCACTCAGCTGTTCCATCTGAGTTTTTGGACCTTGATGGAATTTTATCACTGGTCATTTCTAAAATTTCATTCATCCCCAAGCATTTCGGGGACATATTTCATCAAAATTATTCCATCGCCAGTTTGATAGACCCCTGCTACTCTACTAGCACATGAGCGATCCCCTTGATGCAGACCTTGCACAACCCGGCTGCAGATGAGATGTCTAGTCTCATCCTCTCTGTGGAGACGCCTCGCTCCACTTCCTGGCTGGCGCATTGTCGGGCAGGCAAGTTCTTCCTGACACTGAAGGTTGCAAGCTGACTTCCTCAGGCAGGTACTCAAAATTTTATTTTGTATGCTGAGTGTTTCTCAAGGGCCAAAACTGATTTTATTGTTTATAATAAAATTATTATTCTAACATATCTTCCTGCTTTAAGCCAGTGTGACTTGCAAAGCTTATGTTTTGGTTAACACACAGATATCCCTTATGTTGAATTTGGTTTAGTTGTGTTTGGAGCTGGTAATTGGTGTACAATGCTCAATTATGTGAGTTGCTGTCTTGACTTTAATTGAGATTTACTCTATCAGGAGAGTTTACTTGAACTAAATATTGGACATCAGGACTTCTCATTAATACACATAGAAAATAATTTACCTAAATTACAGCTGTAAAAAACAGGTTGATGTGATCATTAAACTTTTCATTTCATCAATGGAAGGCTTACATTATGAAACTTAGGTCTTTGAAATAGGTAAATGAAATATAACTCAAAACATTTAGTACGCCTGTCATTGGTGACCT